GGGGAGGATGGGTGGGAAGGGAGGGATAAGGGTGGGGAAAAAGAAAGGGGGCATTACGATTAGCATGTATAGTGTGTCTGCGGCATGGGGAGGGCTGTGCAACACAGAGAAGACAAGTAGTGATTTTACAGCATCTTATTATGCTGATGAACAGTGACTGTGAAGGGGTATGTGGGGGGGGACTTGGTGAAGGGGGAAGCCTAGTAAACATAATGTTCTTCATGTAATTATAGATTAATGATACCCAAAAAAATTCAAAAATGTTTTAATCAATAATTATGCTAATCAAAATGTTAAAGATATTTCTTTTTAATAGAAAATTTTGCTTGTAGAACTAGCAAAAAACCCATTTTCTAAATACATTTTAGGGGCTTGCCAATATACATAATGTATCTGGAAGCTCTATAAACATAATAGCAGCAGCTCTGTAATAAAAAGGATAGTCTTTCAAAAATTATGCTGGATAAACTTACAAACCATGCTACCTTGTTGACAGTTAGCATTTCCTAACAAAAGCTTCTTTGATTAGAAATAAGTCAGGTTTGTACTCTACCTTAACCTTTACGCACAGACTGGCTCTATTATTAGTTACAGTTAATGAAAGCCCACTTAATTCCCACATGCTTCGCTTACTTCTCAACTGGGTAGTCCCTTGTGCTCTTCAATTAGGTAGCCTTGAATTTCCATCACCAAAGGCATTTGTTTGGATTGAGGCATTATTTGAAGTCTTCTGTTTAGAACCAACAAATATTCAATGAAATTCCAGGAAGTTTTTAGAAACTTACAGGCTAATGCTAATATAAATATGGAAAGCAAAGCAGTAGAGCAACTAATACAGTTTTGTTTTAAAGATAAATGAAGTTGGAGGATTCGTCTGATTTCAAGGTTTACCATGAGGCTACAGTAATCAAAACTGTGTGTTGTTAGCATAAGAATAGGTAAATAGATCAACGCAGCAAAAGAGAAAGTATAGAATTTATATGGTTATAATAGAAAGTTATTTATAATTTATATAGTTAATTGATCCTCTTGGAAATCCATTGTGTAAAAAAGTAAATATAACCTTTACTTCATAACACATAAAAATGAAACTCAAAATATATCATGGGCTTCAATATAAGAAATAAAACTATAAAACTTCTAGAGGGAAACAGAGGAAAAAATATTTGTGACTTTGGGCTAAGTAAAGATTTCTCAGGACACAAAAAGCACAAACCTTAAAGGAAAAATTAGATAAATGTGATCTCTTCAAAATAAAATCTGCTCTTGGAAAACAGTGCTAAGAGAATAAAAGGCAAACTACAGATTAGAAGGAAATATTTGCAAAAGGTCCTCTATATCTGATTTAAAAAAGTGATTCTAGAAAATACAATGATTTTACAATTTAACAATAAGATTAAAAAATACAATTTGAAAATGGGAAGAAGTATCTCAACTGGCAATTCCTTAGAGAAGATACATGGATTTTAAATGAAAAGAGGATGCTCAACATCACTTAGCCATTAGTCCAACAGAAATAAATAAAACCACAAATAGATATTCTACACACACACTAGAAAGGCTGAAACAAACAAGCAAACAACCTGACAATATCAAATATTGGTAAGGATGTAGAGCAACTAGAACACTTGTACTTTACTGGAGGAAATGCAAAATGATACAGCCACTCTGGAGAGCAGTTTGACGGTTTCTTGTTAAGTAAAATACACTTACAATACAGCTGGACTCACATATTTATCCAAGAGAAATACCTATATTTACATACATACATACCTACATAAATACATTCCTATATCCTAATTTCACAACTTCTTTTTATAATAATCAAACACAAGAAGAGACAACAAATTTCATGAACTGGTGAATGGATAAACAAATGTTGTACATCCATATGATGGAATACCACTCAGTAATGATAAGGAATGACTACTAAGATATTCAGCAAAATGGATGAATTCTAAAAGCATTATACTAAGTGAAAGAAGTCAAACACAAAAGTTTATACACTGTATGATTCTATGTATATGATATTTGAGAAAAGATGAAATTATGGGAATAAAAAACAGATTAATGTTTGATTAGGGGCTGAAGTGGGAAAAAAGGATTAACTGCAAAGAAACCCAAAGGAACATCTCAGGACCAATGGGGTACATTATATATATTTATTTTCATCTTTCTTATGTTTTACTTTACAAATGGGTTTTATTTACATAATACATAGATATATTCTTATTATTAAACTCTTGAAAAGAACAGAATATGTCAATATGTCAAGTAGGAAATGTAAATTGGGAAATATTATTTTAAATTTGGGATGGTTGCACAATATACAGAGTTCTCAAAATTCCTCCAACTATATACTTTAAAAGGATGACTTTTGTCATATGCACAGTATTTTAATAAACCTGATTTAATAAAAAGAGAAAATAAAAATTTATTTGATTCCATTTCACCCCAAAATACTGCATAACTCCCCAAACTACATATTGGGGCTCAATTGGTTTTGTATTTCTCAGAGCACTAGAAGCAGATCCAATCCAGAGGGTAGAGTAGAACACAATTGAAATGTTCAATGCAATAAAACAAACATTAAGAGGTCAACAGCCTCAGAAATATTATTCTCAAGACATGATAAGAGGTCAGTAGCCACCAATCCTAAAAATAATGTGGGAAAATATTCAATGCCAAGTGGAGAATAGAACTAAAGCTAGGATACTGGGAAGCATTATGGAGTGTTGATTGTGTGATAAAATTGCAGGTAAGCTGGTAAAGATTAAACTGGTAGTTACTAAAACAAGATAAAACAAAACAAAAAACCAGTTTTAAGTAGAAACACCAGCGATCATTGTTTCTGTTTGTTTTTGTTTTTTATCTGAAAAGCAGTACTAAGTAGGGATCAAGGGTTGGGAGAGAGTGGGTCATCAATAAGCATGAGAGGATATGGAGAGCAGGTCAAAAATATTTGGATGGTGAGATTTGGTCATGGAAGCTACAGTAAGCTCAAAGGAGGTCTGTGGGAGATAAGGAGAGGAACTAAAGATGCTTCTGCTGGGGAAGGAACACAAATATATGAAGGCAAAGGTGGAAAAAGGACTTGTTGAGTACGCTTTATGGTTTCATGCCTTCTTATGGATCCATTGTTAAAGAGATACATGTTAACACTTAAAAAAGCTAACTGTAGAGCACCTATTCATTTAGACAGTGTTGTGTATTGGTTGGTTATGATTTCAAATCCAATTGTTTAAGGCTTAAGTGAAGTTGTTTTGATCTAAGGGTGAATCTGTTTACATTGGAGGCTGTGTCAAGATGATGTCATCAGAATTGTTGTGCTGTTGTATGCTTACCAATATGGATATATGAAAGAGTGCTATAATCTGATGGGCATTTAAGCATTAAATACCAACAATTTGTGAGAACTTACCAAGAGTTTTGGGTCTGGGTAAGGCTACACTTTGCTGATCAAAAAATAGTTGTCCCAAGACCTTGGGACATTAGATCCTGCCATGGCAAGGCTATTCTTTGCCAGCAGTGGTGAAAACCATGTGGCAGCCCTGTGAAGATCATCTTGCCCACAAACACCAGTGCCTTAGGATTGCCCAGCATCGTGCTCTACCGGAATAAGGGACTTCTGATTTGTGCTGGCAGATGGACGGACATGGGCTCTTGGCGGCCTAAACCAACTCTTCTGAGAACCAACTTGTAGAAAGGTACATCTCAACTAAATTTGGACTTTATCACATTCATCTACCCTTTGCAGGAACAACAGTGTAATGACTAATTGGCTTTCAGTATGTTCTATCTTTATTGGCATATTAGAGACATCCTCTGTACTACTGGCTTGTGAAATACTATTATTAAAAATTATAATTTCTGCAGTGAACCTGTGTCAGATTATTGGCAAAGACAATCTCAGTCTCTGAGCATAATTTGTTGTAAATAAAAGATGGTGGATCTCTATCTCTGTTTCAGTAGCTATCTGTGGAGAGAGGTATATAATGCCAGTTTTAATATAAAACTGTATTTCAGAAGTTGTTTTCATTGTGTATTGTAAAAAGTTTGGCTTTTTAAAAACAAAACAGTAGCAAGGAAAAACCTAGAATAGTTATTACCAAGTTATAAAAGACTATCTCATGTTCATAATATATTATTATCTTGCATTTTCTCAAGTGTGATGTTAAGAATAAATGTAATATTCACATGTTTTATTACAATAATTAGAAATATCATACATGAGATAAACACCTTACATTTTTAAAAATTAGATAATAATATAGTAAAATTTCATAATTTATATTAAATTCTGTACAACCTAGAATAAAAATTGTTTTTCTCTCCCAACAAATCAGCATTTTGAGTCATCTTAATAGTTAGGTTGACAGATATTTTTAACTGATTATGACTTGTATCACAACAACTATTTAAAACGATCTCTTCAGTAACTCAGTCTTCTTTTCCACAAATATCTCTAGCTTCAGTATCATTACTTTCATAAACTATAAATACAAATGACTGAACAGTTAGTTTTTTTAACTAAAAAAAATATTATATGAGGGCAAGGTTTCTGACTGTTTATGTCTGGGGTTTTATTTCTACTACTAAAACTGCTAATGAGGAGCTGAATTACAGATAAAATAAGTCCCAGGGGTACAGCTTTTTCAGTTCTAAAATAAATCAATAAAGCCAGAACCAGAATCAGGTTAATACTGCCAAGGTCAGAAGCACTAAAAAAGGAAAAGCTGGAATGGCAGAGAAAATAACAAAGTGGTAATTAGCTCCAAAAGTCTGATAAATGGAGCAGGTAAAGTACAGTGCAAGGATGAGACACGTTTAGTTTCAAACTGACCTTGAACAGCAGTCTGACCCTGACTGTACCCTTAATTCCTGTATTTTCAGACTGACTGCTTCCTTTCTAAATTTCAACATACTTCACCTTTTTTTTTTGTCTTTTTGCCACCTCCTCTCCCTTTTTCTTTGTTCTTTGTTCTTTCTTTCTTATCCTTACTCAATAACCATTTAATAAGCTCTTATTACATGCTACAAACTTTACTAGACACATGTACTTATTTCATTATTTTGATAATAATAAGGCACAATGTTATTTAACATTTAAAATGTTACTTAGTAACAAGGAGCTTTTATTATTTCAACATAGTTGTTGTTTTTCTCATTATAAGAACATATTTGAGCACAAATATCACGTTATTTCATAGTAATCAATAGTTTTCCTTATTTCCTTTTTTTCAATTACTTGTTTGGAATTTTCTACTTGCATAATTTTCAGAATGTTCAGTATTCTGCTTTAGAGGCTTTCCTTTTCCCAGACTTACCCTGTTCATGGGGGGATCGCCCTGGGCCTGCTGCCTGGAGCAGAGATGAATGGACCATCCGTAGCAGTGGCTTCTCTTGACACATTGTTGCTGTCTAAACGGTGGAGGCAACAAAACAGAGATGGAATCCTGTCCCCATTGAAAGGATAATTAAAATATTTAGGAGTACAAATCACTCAGATCACCTGGATCAGACCTTCTATTCTCCATTCCCCTAGAACAATAATCTCCATTTGCAGGGTTTCACAGCCACTCACCTCCTGTGGCTCCATGGGTGGCCATACCATCCTCACTCGTTGTTCTACTTGCTTCTTTATGACACCTTAAATTACAAAAGAAAATACAGTCTACAAGATGTGGCCCTTCTCCATTCATTCCCTCTCCTATTTTGTTTACTTGGGTAGTAGCTCTTAAAATGTAGTGTGGCCAGATCATTTCTCCTAGTTCCTGAAGTATTAATTTCTTGTATTGAGGTTTTGGAATGTAACAATAAGTAAGTAAAAAACAGTCAGGGTGAAAGAGAGATAGAAGATGAGATGATGTAATTCCTCTTGCCTCATAAATTGAAAACAGTATGATAGAGAGACAGTGCTCCATTTTCTTGATCGTACAGGCCCTAGAACTCCAAACCAGGAGGGAGGAACTGGAGAAAGTCACATCTTAGAGCCATCTTTCACGGGTTTTGTAGGCATTGAAAATCAACTCTGAAGGCCTTCATTAAGATAAAAAAAAATGCAAAATTATGAATTCAAAATGAAGGATAAAAACTAACACTTATTTAGAATAAGAAATCACAACAAATTACAAATTTTAAAGAACTTTTAAAAATTACAAAATCCAGGAGAAAATGCATAATTTATTGCTTAACCCAACTCTGTAATTCTTTTTGTCTCTTTACATTTTTGTTGTTTACTCTTTGATCATCTTTTTCATATAAAAATGATTTTATGACATCTTTTATCTATAGAGAGAATAAAGATAATTTCATTATTTCTCTAGGAAGGTTGATCAAAATTTGATTTTTTTTAAACTAATGATAAAGTAGAAAAGTTTCAGTTTCTCAATTCTGCACTGACTGGCCTGTGAAACCATGCTAGCAATACTGTAACTACACAGACATGCTGCAAACCACATAATATACCCTACTCTGCCCAGCTTTACCCTTAATCAGATCTCCAAAATATTCTCCCTTACTCTAGAGCCTCTCTACCCCATGCCTCACACTCCCTCACACCCCATACTTGAGGATAAGTCAGAAAGGAAAGAGATGGTCATTTAACCAACTGTGGCTAAAGTCCTTTACTTTTTGTAAATTTTACCAAAACATATGACTTCTGGGTAAGCAAATTGCTAGGTAGGATCTTTTCAGGGATTTGGAAAAGGCCTTTGCAAAAATGGAGTTCTGAAGTTCAAAAATGCTTCATTTGATAGTATAACTGCCTTTGATGCCATTATCCACTCTTCCTGGTACCCATGATACTCATAAAACACACATATACTTTGGGATTAACCTCTGTTATGAAGAAAGCATCCTTGAAGTTCTTTGTTCAGTTTTTCTTTCCTTCATTTTGTTTTTGTTTTGTCTTATCAAGACATGGAATTGCTCCAGATAAGCAGGAGTGAAATGAATCAGTGATGGTGGCTCTATGGGGACGATGTTTCTAAAGGTTAGAGCATAAACACTGTGATCAGTTGCCCCAGTCATGGTAATTGAAGGCCTAAGCAGATGTGGCTTTCCTCATACGGTGATGACTAAATGTGAACCTAGCCATACCAGACTTCAGACGCCAGGTACTAAAAACTTTGGAGAAATTCTGCAGAAACTGTGGCCATGGTATTGAGATATTAAAGAGAGGGTTCTTTGAGCAGACCATGTGGGCATGGAGCAATCGGGGATGCAGCCATGCCAGACTGATGACAAGACATGCATAAGTGACGGTAAAATGATAAAGGCTGAATTTCCCAACTACTTGCCCACCAGAAGCTATTCTATAATTAATTCGATTAAGAAAATAGAGGAAAGTGACATTTTTCTACCTTAGGAGTTATATAGCAGATTCACACTTATTACAAATACATTGTATATTCATAATTATTAGTGTCTTTTAAAATATATATCTTTTCAAGAACTAAGAAAGTGTTCATCTCACTCACTCTTCCTGAAGGTTCCCTGAGAGTATCTGCCAGATCATTGTGAGCACAAGGTAAGATCTTAGCACAAGTAGGTGGAAAGAACTGGAGGTAAGTAATGGAAACAGTTACACAGACACACACATAAGCATAATTCTATATGTGCTTATAAGGACTTGCATATAGATAAAGCTGAAGTGGATAATTGTATTTTGCATTGTAGAGTTAAAATTACTGGAAGTAGGGAAAAGTAAATGAAGAACACTTGATTCCTTATTCCATACAGAGAGAAGTAAAATAGTAATATTTACTTTTTAATAAAACAATAAATACAAAATGTTTTTAAATGATAAAAAGCAAAACTAGATCTGTAATCGCAATGAACTTCTTCAAATCTCACCTCGTAAATATCAAACTGTTAAGAAAATACACCCAGAACTTAGAACTAGGCAAAAGGGATCCGTTTATTCTCTCAAGGTCATGCAATGCCACTTCATGCCTCTAGGTGCAAGCACCTTTGCTTGACTTCACATTTACTCTTCATTAGTTTTTTTCTGCAGTGTTGAAAGAAAAGTGCTCTATTGTAGAAAACCAATAGCAATGTAAGTAATTATTGTCCCACAGAAATGAAATGATTCTTGCCTGAAAGCTTTGCAAATGAATTTTATTTGGTAGAGATTCAAATGATACCAGCAAAATTACAGTTTGAATGCCCTGTAGGGCATTAGTCAGTTTTGTATCTAAATTAGCAATCTAATCCAAGCATTCTGTCTTTCTGACATAATAAATACTGGTGCTCCCTCCAGGTCACTTTGGACCTGCCTTTCCAAGTGGCTGCCTCCCGCAGTCATGGAGTAAGTAAATCTTTGACACATGCTCATTTTGTGTTTGCAGGGCAGCCAGGCTTTACAGTTTTGGAAACTATACCTATTATAAAGAAAACTTCTTGGTATTCTTCTTGGTACTTGAAGCAAGAGATGGGAATGAGAACTTAGCCTCCTGCTAAACTGACTACCCGACTTTATCACTTCCGGAAGAATACTCTCATGTAATCCACTTGCTTTTCATGGTTTTCACAGTTTTTACGTAGATAACAAAATAGCTATGAATGAAAAGAGAAAATGGGAAGTTGTATAAGTGAAACAGATAATGATTAATATTATTTGCAGTATTTTTTGGCGAAAGGTACTCAGAAAATTAAATGAGGTAAGAGAGATCATAATCACTTATTTATTCAAAAAATATTACTGAGGGTGTGTACATAACCATGAAAAATACATGACAGCATCTCTGAATGTGTTCATGTTTTTTAAACAAACACTTTGATCAAAATAGACTTTCTTTTGTTTTTGGCATGAAATTCTGTGGTTTTAACACATGTATAGCTTCATGTAACTGCTGCCACAGTCGGGGTACACAACTGTTCCAATATTCCATGTGCACATTAAATCCGCAGAGCTTAACTCCTCTTATAACTGGAAGTTTATACCCTTGGATCAGTATCTCATTGTCCCCAACCCCCAAGCCCCTTGCAGCCACCTATCTATTCTGTTTCTATGAGTTTAGCTTTTTTAGATTCCACATATAATTGAGCTCATACACCATTTGTCTGCCTGTGATTCTGTCCTCAAGTTTCATCCATATCTTTGTAAATAGTGTATTTGGATGCCACTTATCAGGCTAAGGAAGTTCCCTTTTATTTCCAATGAGCTGAAATTTTAGTATTTATAAAAGGTTATTGAATTTTGTCAAATGCCTTTCTTATTTCAGTTGACATGATCACATGCTCTTTTTTCCTTTTGTTCTTTAAATTTGGTGGATTGCACTAAGTAATGTTCAAATATTGAACCAATCTTGTATTTCCAAGATAAATTGCACTTGGTTGTGATATATTATTCCATCTTTGTTCCTGGATTTGATGGACTAGTATTGTGTCAAGAATTATTTGAATCTATATTCTTAAGGAATTTTATCTCTTGGTCTCTTTTCTTATGCTGTTTTTGTGGGATTTTGATGCCAGGATAACCCTGATCTCATAAAATGAATTGTAAAGTATTCACTCCTATTCTACTTTCTGGTAGAGATTGTTTGGCCTTGATGTTATTTCTTACAGATTTTATAGAATTTTCTGGTGAAACTCCTTGGGGCTACAAACCTTTATTTATTTTTTTCTAGAAGGTTTTGAACTACAAATTAAATTTCCTTTGTATTATATGAACATTCAGCCTATCTATTTCTTTATGGATGAATTTCCATACCTTGGGATTTTCTAAGAATTGTTTTATTTCATCTATGTTGTATTTCTCTGTTTAAGTTTTTCATATTATTTCCTTATTTTTCATTAATTATCTGTAAGATCTGTGGTGATATATATTTCTTTTTCATTTCTAACACTAGTAGTTTGTGTCTTCTCTCTTTTTTTCTTAGTCTAGTTAAAGGTTTATCAATTTTATTGATGACTGCAAATATATATGAAGAACATATACTGCAATATAAAATTTTCTAAATAGTTTATGTAGATACATGTACATATAGATGCAGATAGATTGCTAGATACAATTGGTGCAAATCACTAACAATTAGTGAATCTGATACTGGTATTAATTTTGTAAATTTTCTTCACATTTGAAATCATTATCAAAATAAAAACAATAAAATAACTTAACAAGTAGAAACACTATGGGAAAACAAAAGGCAAGAGAATCCAATCACCAGGGAATTTTAGACTTTGTGGAGGAGCAGTGGAGGATGGGATTTATTTAGTGGTGCTTTGTGAGCCACTGTGTACAAGCTAGATGCTAATTAATATTAATTAAATTCTGCATAGAAAAATGTAAGTTAAGAATTTTCAAATCACTGATCCATATTAAAAAGAAGGGAGAAAAGAAGACCCTGCGTCTGGTTTGTGTGAGACTGCAAGTCCTTGCTGTGTCAGTTTTTCCACCTGCAATCCCTTCAGTCGGTCAGCCAGGGCCCTTTGGTCTTTGGCGGCCTGGTATCTCCTTTCAGAAATGCGGGGCTGGATCTAGTCCTATGTGTTATTCCAGTTCTACCACTAGGTTCGAAATAATATGAAAAAACATTTGGATCCTTCTGCTTGTTCATTAGATCTGTAAGTGAGAATGGCTCGTCCAAATCTGACTTACAGTGGCTATTTTCATTCAGAATCTCTCTCCTCTGTCTTTGTCTCTGCTCCTGTCTTTCTCATTTCTCTCTCTGTCTTTATCCCTGTCTCTCCTTGTCTCTCACCACTCATCATCTATCTATATGCTATGTACTTGGTATATATCATATATAGTTCTCTTTCTCTCTTTGTATATACATATACACACACACACACACATGGAATATACATATATTCCATTTTCCTAAGGAATAACAGATCAGTGCCTTTTGTGGTACAAGTACCATTTTGATTGTTAAACTGTTTCAGCCAACTGTATGTTTAATCATGACTCCAAGTATGAATAAAAAGTGTCTCATTTTAAGTTTGTCTTTATACTTAAAGAAAGATGGGGTGTCGTCTGTTTTTAACAAATGTATTCTCAGCACCAATAATTTCTTCTAATCTCCACAAAAGATTCTTTACAAGTATTTTTTAATAGCTGATTTAATGTACTATGCTGTTTCTAGAAAATTCCATTAAACATTTATTTTTTTCAGATTCTTACATGGCACAATATAATGTATTTAATGATGAGCCTTTTCAGAAACTCTGAAATGCCCTAAAATGCTATTCTATATTATCAATCTATGTATATTGGCATGTATAAGTGTTCAAATTAATAATTAATTTTAATTACTAAATGATTGATTTTAATGATTAAATATTGAAGTTCAATTTGGACAATATGGAAAGATACCCAGTCAGATAGTGAGAATACAATAGCAGATCTAATATTAAAAGTAATAAAAAATAACATAGGCACTGTCCTTGATTAAAATTGTGCCTGGACAATAAAATTACCTCCTCTTTTACCTCTTGTATGTAATTAAGGTTGCCAGATATAGAAAGCACAATAAGAATTCTAAATAACTTATTTTAAAAATCGCATTTGAAGTTTTTATTCAGAATAAATGTGTATGTATCTTGTCAAAAAGCAGACTAATTACTTCTGAAATATTGCTTTAAAGACACCAGGCCTTTTTTCAAGGGCACGAGGAGAGTGATGTTGAAGTTTTATCTTACACTGATTAAGCAAATAAATGTATTATGATGACTAAGATAATGACTTCTCACCATTGACACTTAGAAAATTAAACATTTCTAACTAAAAATGAATAAATTGGAATATTTTAGTAAGTTTCTCTGTAACTCATATATGAATGTCCTTTATTTTTAAAACAAGTAATTCCTTCTAAAAATTATTTTATGTTTAAGAAACATTAAAAGGTGCCCTTTAAAAGTACTACTTGCCTCAAGTCTATCAAGCGTAATGACAATGATACTTTATGAAATGAAGAATAAACAAAATATCTCAGAAGAATTTTTCCTCTCCTAATGCTGTATAAGCATTTTTTCACTTAACAATTGTTTAGCCCTCCTAAAGTTTAAATGATAAAAAATAAAAAAGGATTTCATACTTTAAATTATGCTAGCCTTAGGTAATATAATTTTTAAGGCCTATTGACTCCTTCTTTTCTAGTATATAAGGTTAATTGTAATATAGAGATACATTATAAAAAACATTTTGATAATAGTGTAGAAATTAGGGTAAAGGATGCATAAAGTAGTAATGCATATATTAATTAGAATTTTTAAGTCAAAGATGTTATTTTTTAGCATGAATATTAATAAGAAAGTGTATGTAACAATCTTATTTAGGCCATCAACAGGATATTGACTTATAATTGCAATTCCTTTCTCAGTATAAGTTTGAATAGAAATTATATAAGAAATATATTATCAATTAGAACTATAATAAGACTAGGGAAAATGTTCCATCTGAAATTATTATGGCTCCCTTTATTTATTATCAAATCCAACTTTCTTAAAAGTCTTTGGGGAGTAATTTAACTGAATAGCAACTAGTGAGTTACAAGAAATGATCTATCAGTGGAAAGTTTGATACAATTTGTGAAAATACCGTACAGTATTAACATAGAAGATTTAATACATATTTTTAAAAAGGTCTGTATTTTGTGGTAATTTAAGCAGTTTTCTGCACTTAGGAGAATATTTTTAGAATACAATAGTATTTTACTTTTTATTGTTAGTTTAATATTCAGTAATACAATGATAATTTTTCTTAGTATATTTACATTATTTTAGTATATTTATAGTAAAATACTTGTGTTATATAAATTTTTCTCAACCTATCTTTTACATTTGAATAATAGCATATGCTCTATAAGTACTTCCTTTCTTAATTTTTTTTTTTACAGACTTTATTAATGTTGTCTAGAACTTAAACCTTAAGCATGCTATGAATCATCATTATGTTTGGCTTTATCATCTGGTGATTTGACAATAAACTGGCATGACTCAGCAAACAGAATTTGACATACCGGAGAAAAGACCAGGGGCACCCTGAGAACAGGCTCAAGACTGAAGGCCTCAGCAGATTGAGGGCCACTTAACTTGTGGGGAAAATGCTGTATGCTCTTATAGGCTAGCAGTAGAGAAAGGCAGTAGTGGAGGAAAGGAGAAACCTATTGTATGGAAGGCAGCGCCTGGAGAAAAGGAAAGAGCCTTGAGATGATATTCCTTATCCAGCAAAACCTGGATTGAGCCTATGATCTTTAGGTTTCTGTATAATCAAAGGAAAAAGTCAACACACAGTTGAAAATGCCTCCTGACTACCCAGTGGTTTTGACATCACAGCCACAACTTCTTCATTCTCTGTTCTCTGCTTGGAGAGTCTGAAGTAAGGTAAATTGAATATGGGAAGCCCAGTACCTATAACTGTAGCCAATATAGAAGGTATGCCCTACCTAGAGGTACAAGGTGCTGTTGGCAATAAGTCATAATATCAAGAGGGAAGCTGGGCAGAGAATGGACACATAATATTAATATGAAAAAAAAACAGTGGAATTGCAAGAATAGAAAAAGTGCCTTACACAAATGTAAGGATCTGGAATGCAAAGCCAGAATGTTGACTAAATACGCCAGACAAATACAAGGGCAGATTCAGATTATCCAAGAATTTCAAATGCCCTTCTCCATGAACCATGGTGCTTGGGTTTGTCAACTATGTTTAAAGAGCTAGGAAAGATGTTGATAACACTTATTTCTTTTACCTCCTCAGTCCTGAGATCTTCATGTATTTAGGAATGTTTCAAAGTGGGAACCTTGTCCAGGCTTAGTCTTTTCCCACTGAAGAAAGCACGAGAACTGGCTCTAACCTCAGTATGAATCTCAAAACACTTCATGGATATTCTCAGTCTCCTCAGTCACCGTTGAAGAGACTGAATGCTGGGTTTATGGATGGAGGGTGAAGTCAGCGTCCAGTGACACTGAGTTTGTTCTGATTCCCCTTCTGAGAGACTGACTGAGGGTTAAAAGGTCTGGAAGACTAATGAAGAGTAATCCTAATGGCTGAGAAATGAGACATTGTGGATAGAGTATTTCAGGCAGGGTTTTTTTTTTCTTTAACTCCATTTCAGCCTTGATCAAGTAGATGGAAAGTTCTATTCACTGTGGAAGGCATAGAAAAGGAAGTCCATGTGGACAAACATCACAGCAGGTATATCTGTCAAACTAAGCTGTAATAGTCCTTAGTTGTTTATGTGTTCTGGTAATTAGCTGAAAAACATTCCCTCTGGCCATTGATCTGTGGGTGTCCAGTGGTTTTTTTAGACGTCTAAAGTTCCCAGTGTTATCTTCCAAATCAAATACAATCTGAGAAGATTGGTTGTGTTTTTAGTGCCTGGGTTGGTAGAGAAGGAACATTCTTCAATAAATAGGAACACCTTTTCAGGAACAGATGAGAGGCCAGTAACAGTAATTGTTCCACTGCAGTGAAAACATTTGTCTACTTAAGCATATGGTAGAGTTGTAAGAAGTTGATTCTAATGAAATGAATATTTGCTTTGTCCTGGGGTATTCACGGTTGTGAGTAAATGTAGCACATGTCAATCTTCTGGGATGTCTTTGCCCTAGGAGTGTGTATCACAGGTGTTTGTGTACTATCATCCAAGAAATATCACTAATATCTAGATCAGATAGGGTTCTAGGAACTGTGTGTTAGCATTGAACCAGACAAAGTCCATATCTTCAGAAAGTTGAAACTCACAGGTCTGATATAGGGCCATCAGTAGTCACTGTATACTATGTTTAAATTCTGGGGCACAGCCCTCTGCCCTGCCAAGATGGTATTATTGCCAGCCTGGCAGTCAGTCGAAGAACTTTATTTGCTCTTAACTCCATGGGTTTACCTCTGCATGTCCCTGGATCTTGCTCAGTTGTTATGACACACAGCAGTCATCTTACTGCCAGTCGTAGATCATCAATAGTCACTTGTAGATATGGTTATATGGTCATAAAGTTTTCTGACTGAAGAATCTTGTTGTGTGGGTCTGCCTTTGTTATCCCAATATTAAATGTGAAGCAAGCAATCCAACCTTTGATTTAGCTTTTAATGTATATGTCACAAATCTGAATTACTGAATTTCTTGAAGAAAGCGGTCTCAATTCTTTGGCAAGAATTACATGTATGGCTGGCTCTGAATGAGCTAGTTCAGGATATGGTGATCCAAATGTAATATTGGGGGTTCAAAGCACCACCCTAAGTAGGATCTGATGTCTCAAAGTTAGTCTTGATTTTCAATAGCACTTGGTACCATACAAGCTAATTTATCTTAACCAAAACAAATAACTTGCAAAAACAGATACAGAGATTTTAGGAAGTGAGTGCCTGGATCATTACTGTTCTAAATATACTTTACCACTGTTTGGGAAAATCTGTTCTGATAGTTTAAAACCAAAGGTCAGAGAAAGCCATACTGGGGCAGAAGTAAATAGGGTTATGGTAGATGCAAAGCTAGGAACTGGAAAAAGGCCAGAAATTTCATTCACCTTTTCTGATACAGTTACTGAGGAACTTAGAGAAATGGAACATGAAAGGGGTTGACAATATTCATGGAACCCCAAGAATCTGAATATCCTTGAATGTCCTGTGCTTTCCAAGTGGGAACACCAGTATTATATTGATGCCTTGATTAAGTAGGAATTTCTCCTACTGACTTTCAGTGCACACTAACACAAATTTCCTGGGGCTGAGCTGGAGATGTATTGTAGAAATAGTGCCTTCTCAGATCAGAGATTAAGGGGACGGCCATCAAGTACATTTCAATAAAACTTCCATTCAGTAGCTTATATGTGAATTCAATCATGAACCACTTCAAAATCTGAGTTCTATGAAATATTTTCCAGAAGGAGGATAATCTCTCAAAGGATGCCTTCGGGAATATTTATGTAATGTTAATAATTTGAGTTTTAATGAGAAATAAAGAAACTATTGATATAATAGATACATATTTTAATTTTTAAGGACACATTATTGGAATAAAGGAAGATGAAGAACTAATTTACTTCCCTTTTTAAATATCATAATTTATCCCTTTAAATTAAATTTAAAGTTACAGTCTAGAGTGTTCTAATTTTGTAGCTAAAGGAGGGATGCATTTAGTATGTTGAGAAGCTGGTTGTAAACATAGTGTGCTGGTGTTTACAGGATGACAAAGGCTATGGAAAACCTCCATTAGTGTGTTGTCTTCATTGCCCTGTAGTTCTCCATTTATGCATCTATATATCCCCCACCCTTCAACAACTGGAAGGTGTCTTGTGGTTAAGTCACATATTTTATTGTCTTAATCATTTTATGGACTAACATCAGCCTGGATCTTTCCTATTCATTTTATTAAGAGGGCAATCAATACATTTTATTAAATGCATGAGAGAATGACTCAGCTAATCTTACTGGTATACCATCTAACGAAATGTCACATGACAGTAGCTCACTCAAATTTAGACAAAATATTCAAGTGAAAATAAACAGGCTCTTCATTCTTAAATTTGAAAAGGCAAAACTATAAAATGAAGGCAAATCTCAAATGAAGTTATGCCTTTAAATGTTCTAATAATGTACAAGATGGAAAGGAGTTATCAACTGGAGCTCCGTATTGTCAGTCGAATAAGGTGCAGAGGTGTCAAGGTCAAGCTATGATGAGATGTACATAATTTATGGGGATATGCTTAGATACATAAATGAAGTGAGGTAATGAGATGTATCAAAAGAGAGGTGATTGGAGAAACATATATAAGCATTGTAATGAGATGCCTAAACCTTAGACACTAAGACTTTGAGAAAGAAGAAATGCAGCCAGGCATAAGGGAGTACATTTTGATCCTTGTTATCTTATACAGCCCCTAGGAAAGATTGTTCCCATCCTCCCAGCCCAGGCTTTGCTTCTAGCAAATTGCTTTATGATCTTGCTTTGCAAAACTGTTTATATTGCTGTATAAGCACCTCCTGGTAGGGTAAGGTGATTCGGGCAAGAGGTGGTTTGTGCCATTGAATTAATTAAAACTGCACTTTAACTAAGGTAATTCTGGGTGAATTTTTTTGCATTTGTATGACAAACAGATCCGAATGTCATGGCCAGTAATGGAAAACAAAATAAAACCAGCAAGTTCTTTCTACTGAATCAAGTTAAAAATGGAAATTTTATCTAAAAAAAAGTATTTTAAAAGATTCCAATAGCTAAACTTACAATGATGGGACACAAATAAAGCCAATAGAGTAATTCAATCTAATTTATCAACTTTGAAACTTTATAATTTTTTTAAGTTGGAAAATAAATTTACAGAAGTAAGCATCATTTCCAGTTCTCTTCTGCAGCTACCTCAGGTAAATAAAAATGTTATATTGCATGTGCAATATATGCTCATTACTACATGGGGAGGCAAAATTCTACTTTTTTCCATCTTTGGTTTTCATCTGGGATTCATACAAAAAGACAAATTAACAAGAAAAACCATGACTGCATGCAGCACACATCACACAAGAGAAGCCTAACCTAAAAGTAATTTAAACAGTGGCTTAGAATTCCAGCTTTTATAGCATCTTCAACAAAGAACAATCCGTTTGTAGAGAAATGATATGACAGAGGAAAACGATTTCATTTTAAGCATCCAAGGACAGCAAACTATGAGAAGGTAAATATAGGAGAGGAAAATAGTAGAATAAGATTTGCTGGCAGCTTCCTCTGGTGCCATCTCTGGGCCAAAAAGAGTCTGTCTCCAGTTAGAGAATTTATATCCTGCCTTTAGTCAGAAAAGGGCAGAGGAGGTGGGCTTTTTATGGGTTCGCTGCTTCTTAATTGCCTTAGCTCAAAATGATTTTTATGTCGAATTGGCATATTTTGGGGTGACATGCTGGTTTCTTTCAACTAGAAAAAGAAAAATAAATACAGATAACCAAAATGAGGAAAATGAAAACCACATTTAATTTTAACAATCAAAGAAAATCTCTGTTAAAACTTTGGCATATATCTTTAACTTGATACAAGTTCAATTCCTGAATATTTGTTAATATTAACTTCACTGTATGGCTCTATTAAATAAATCACAAATTTGAAATGCTGGACACAGACTTTGGTGTCAGAATGTTCAAGTATTGAAGTAGTTATGTAACTTTAGATTGTTTGGTTTTATGATGCTGTCATTTACTTATTAGTTTCTTTCCTGTGAAGCAGATCAAACTGTGTGTTTTCATTATAAATTTGAGTTGGTTATAATTTTTCATTCTAGAGTTTCCATTTGATATTTTTATTATACTTCTTATTTCTCAGTCAAGATTTTTTGTCTTCATTTATGAGTGTATTTTTTTAAATCTGGTTGAGAATAGTTTTAATGGGTTCTATAGAGTCCTTGTCAGATGATTTCAAAATCTGTATCAACTTGGGGTTGTCTCTATTGATTGTCTTATATCTTAAGAATGTGTGGCATTTTCCTGGTTGTTCATATATCAAGTAATTCTGCATCAAACACTAACATTTCGAATGTTATGTGGAGACTCTGGATCCTGTTATGTTACTCTGAAGAATGTTGATTTTTTTTTTAAAGCAGGTAATTAGGATTCAAATTATAAACTCTGACTCTTGAAAGGCAGCTTACATGGCACTTGTTTTCCCATATAGCTGAACTTGATTCAATCTGCCTCATGCTTACAGGATTCAAGGTTTAGCCAAAGTGTTGGAAACAATTTATACCCAGAATATTGGGCACCTTCTCTCTGGATTTCTTCTTCCCCTTCACTCTTCAATAGATGTGATTGTCCTGACATCTTTTTCTTCCTCAAGTCAGAAAGACTGGCTTATCACAGTTTTAGTCACATCTGAGGAATACGACTTTCTTCCCTTAGGCTAAAATCAGAGAAAAACAACAGAAAACTTACACCTATGTTCCTTGTGTTTCCTTCTTCAAGTGTTAACTTTCCTCTAGAAGTTGCCTGATTTTGTTGACTCTCCAGAGCCTTAGAGTAGGAAGTATCTATATTTATATGTGGAGCAAATGGCAGAATTTCTAGAATCTCCCAGCTAGTCTTAGTTCATTTACATATCAATAGGTGTTTACCACTGCAGAGCCTCCTGTTGATCTGGGTCAAGGGGTGGAGAGAAAATGACCACTCTCCTCCCTCCCCTATTCCTGATATGTAATTGGTCCGGCATTTGCAGGTCACTGAGGACCGGCCCATGGAGTTTCTCCCAGAAGGGGCCAGCAGTGAGGAACAGTGGCTGCAGGGCACTGGGGGAAGGAGAGTGCCCTCCATGGCCAGAGGAGATGGATGGAGCTGCGGCCTGAGGCTCACACGCCCTGGCTGGAGGGATCGGACAGAGCGGGAGCTGTGGCCAGAAGAGTTGGACTGAGTTGGGCCTGGCTAGCGACTGCAAGAAATAAAAGCCTTTTTTTCCAACCTACCTTTTCCCTTGACCTATTTCAGTTTCTTCAGACTCATAGGGACTCACGCCTGGCAAAGAACACACTTCCCCTGGAGCTACACTGTGTCATCTATGTATCTGTATCTCTATTTATCTATCATCAAGAAAGTTAAGTTGTAGTGAGTTGCTACAGTTGTTTGATTTATAAATCTGTTCCTTAGGCATTGTAACATGAACTATTCCAGAAACTCTGCTGGTAATCTTGCCCCAAATGGGCCATGTTGCAAACTGCATCTAGCTACCAAAGTAGGTATCTGGTTGGTCAAGCATCTCCGTAAGTGTATTCAGCCTTTATGGTGAATCAGGAAATTCCACATGATTTCAAGGAGCTCTTCAGCTGTACAGACTTCAGACAGCAGACCCGACCGCTGTCTACTTCCCCCTGGAGGCTCCCTAACGTGGTTTTCTTCTCTCAGAGGCAACTGGCCCTTGGGGTCCAGCTGGCCCAGGCCCAGTCTGGCTGATACTTAAGGTAATCAGCAAAGCTCAGCTCTGGCTACTGTAAACATTTGAATGTCTTAGGGAATAGTCCTACTCTTTTTTCCCTTTCCTTTCCTTTTCTTCCTGAATGATCTCATCCATTCCCGGAACCCTGATTCCCATCCATATGCTAATGACTACCAAATTTATATCAGCAATCTACTTCTCTCCCTTGAGCTCCAAACTGGAACACGCAAATGCCTAATTTACATCCACTTTGAATGTCTCACAGATATCTCAAATTTAACATCAAAAATCAAAGTCTTCATTTCTACTTCCTTCCCCTCCAAACCTTCTATCTTCTCCCAACTTTCTCTAGTGAGTTGTTCAAGCCAAACCTGGGCTAGTCTCACTCTAATTTGAAAAGCTTCTAGAAATCTATGGGGGCAAAAAGACAAATAACCCATTGAAAAACTAGGCAAAGAATACAAACAGTTCATCAGACAAACATATGAAAATATACCAAAATTTATGTATATTGAGAGGAACACACTTGTTCTAAAATATCATTTCTCATATAGCCAATGGACAAATTATCCAAAAATCTGAAAAGTATTATATCAGTGAAGCCAGCCCACAATGGAACAGCCTCTCTGAAGGAGTATCTGGCAATAACTACCAAATTTACAGATTCATTTATGCTTTATACCACTTTGCACATCTAAATAATAAATGTGGTAGTCTAATATATACACAAAATTGTTAAGTGCGGCTTTCTTCAGAATAACAAATGATTGGGAACAATTTAAGTATCCAGCAATAAAAAGCTGATTAAAGAATCTATCTTTCATCCTGCAAAGAAAAATAAGGCTAAAAGAACAAGTAGAAAATTTCAAAGTACAGTAGGAAGATATTTTGAGGCTATTTTTGTAGAAAGAAAGAAAAATATAAGGTGCATAACCATGTATATTTTATACCACCATTTGTATGATAGAAAAGTGATAAGTATAAACACATTCTTTTTTTTATAAAAAACAAAAAGAATAAATGAGAAACTAATAACTAATAAAAATGGTGGATTGAAGTAGATGAACAGAGATGGAAGTGAGGTTTCTTGGTTTACATTTTTTAAGTAATTTTGTCTATGAACCACATAAACACATAAACATATTAACTAATCACAAATGCTACATAAATTCAATTAATAAAACAACAGAATAATAGAAAAAAATAACAATACATTGTAGTTAGAAAGAGTTCATCTAGGAATCATTTAACAGTAGAAAAAGTATTAATATAATTTATAATATTAACATTTTAAAGGAAAAAATTTGTATTATCATTATCAAAGTTTCAGTGAAAGATGTATTAGAATTTGATATTCATTTTCAAAACACATTTCATCATTTTCTCTCTCCTCTGTGCTATCAAAAGAAATCACACAGTATAGTTTTCCAGCCTCTATACATTAACAGCCAAGTATCCAGTATTTGAGTGAAAAACTAAATGTGTTACTTTAGCAAAGTTAATACTGAAGAGTGACAGGTAATTAGTAAGTATGTATAAGAATCTCTGAATATTCTCTGAATATTCATTTTCTTAATGCTTTCACTATTTTAAAAGATGTAAAAATAACTGATGATGTGAAAAAAATCTTAGAAATTATGGAACAAATGCTAAAGAAACAGAATATAGGTCTTATAAAACAATGACCTTTCATAAGAAAAAATGAGGGCATATTAAAACACTGGTTCTTGGCTTCGCCCTCAAAGATTCCTGATTTGGTGGGTCTGCAGTGGGGCCTGAGATTTGTGCTTCTTACAGGCTACTGAGGGGTGCTGATGATGCCTTGAGAGAGAATATTTTGAGTTGGGCTGGAACTAGACCAAGGAACTAAGGTAGGGATCTAGAGACGTAAGTGGAAGAAGACACTGGGAAAAGAGAAAACGAATAACAACTAACAGATAAATTTATTAGTTGGATGAATATCCATCAGACTTCATGGCATATATTACAGTAATACAAAAGTACTTGAGATGTCATAAATTATATTAATTAACTTTCTGAATCCTGCTTATCATATACTTTTCTGTATGATAGGACGTCCTCTATCTGCCAGAATTGTGAAGGGTATTCTAGAGAAGGTGAATGTGTTGGGTTTATTCTGTGGGGAGTAGGGAATCACGGAAGAGTTTTTAGTGTGACATGGTGTGTACAGTAAAGAAAGCTCTTCCTCTGCCTTCCTAGGTTCTGTGACTTGGCCTAAGAATTACACTGACATAAGACAGAATACTAGAAGAAAAACATACCCAAAAAACAAAACCAATAAATTTGTTTAATTACACATTGCAGCTTTCAAAAGGAAAATGAAGACCCAAAAAAACCTTTAGGCCCGAAAGCTTATATACCTTTTGGAATAAGAAACAGTAAATAATGGTGATGTGACAAGACAAACAGACTTGGCTGGGGCATGTAAACTGTGAGACAGGGAGTAGAAAATACATTGTGGCGAGTGGGGGGATGTGGGGAACAAGTCATTGAAAATAAGGGTTATTTCAAGGTTATTTCAATGTTTGTTTATATAGATCCTTTCTAGTATGGACTCCCAGTCTCTGGTGGTAGCAGTGTTCTTCCCTTCTTGGTACAGGAAGGGCATCTTACTCATGGGAAATTTTATAACATACTTTTAAGTAGAAAGAGGGAGGTCAGAAAGCCCTTCCTGCATCTGCTGTTTCTCAAGTACCTTCAAGTTCAAAATAATCAACCTGCCAAAGTAGTGTACTTTGGTTTGGCACGTTTTGAACTTTTTCACATGAAAATATTTTATTTGTATTTCATTTGGGTCCATATGACAGTAGCGTAGAAAATGGATTGCCAGGGTCAAATCAGAAAAGGTTTTTAAAAACTATAAATGTTAGACTGCACTTAAGTGACCAATTAATTTTTGACAAGTATGCTAAGGTAACTCATTAGGGAAAAAAATTGTCTTTTCAGAAAATTGGGCTAGAACACTTGGACACATATATGGGGAAAAAAAATGAACCTAGACCATTATTTAGCAATACATACAGAAATAAGCTTGAAATAGATCATAGACCTAATAGAAGACTGAAAACTATTAAGTTTCTAAAAGAAAACATAGAAAATATTTGTGCTACTGAGTAAGGCACAACTTTTTAAAATAGGGACATATAAAAACACAACTGTAAGAGAAAACATTTGATACAATGGACTTCATTAAAATTAAAAACATATTCTTCAAAAGATATAGTTAAGACAGTGAAAACAGAGATTACAAAGGAATGTATATAAAAATAAGTAAAATACATATTTAACAGATAGTTTGCATCCCAAATACATTGAAAATAAAAAACTTAGACAAGTCAATAATAAAACAACCCATTTTTAAATTGGGCAAGTTATTTGAACAGACATTTTACAAGAAAACATATCTGAATGGTCAATAAACTCATGAAAAAATACTCAAAATCACTAGTCATCAGGGAAGTGCAAACTGAGACCCCAAGGAGACCCCAGTTTCCACCCATGAGAATTGCTGAAGTTAAAAATAAAAGCAACTGACATTGGCATATGCTGGAGATAACGTAGAGCACACAAAACTCTGACATTGTTGGTGAAACACAAAGAATACAGCCACTTTGGGAAATAATTTGGTAGTTTCTTTTTCAAGTTAAACATATACTTTCCATATGACTCAGGCACATTCTCAGTGTTTTCCCACTAGAAATGAAAACATATGGCCACATAAAGACTTTTATGTGAATGTTAATAGCAGGATTGTGAATGACAGACAAAATGGGGCACAAATCAAATAGCCATCAATTGATTAATGGCTAAAATGTGCTAATATCTATACTATGGACTACTACTTTGTAATTGTATGGGATGTGAGGGATTTGGGGGTTTATCAAGGAAAAAAAAAAGACCACAAGAGCCAGTAACACACACAAGCTTTACTGAGTGGTTTTTGACAACATTGAATGCAAAAAGTCCTTTATAGCATGAGACTGTCCCTAGGTTTACAGCAAGGAGAATACTGGAAGGGGAGGAGGATGACGAACTGCCAGGACACAGTGGAATTACAGAGGGAACTTAGATGTTTAGGTGATATGTCTCAGCAGCATAGCGGGGTGTCTCTAGAGTAGTGTCTAGTGACCTCCAAAAGGCAATGGTGGCTTGGGTTTTTATAACCATAGACTCTATCTTAATAATGATCAGCTGACGCTGGGTGTAATTTCACAGGGCATGCAAAGAAGACATATCCTAAATAGCTAAAAAGTTGCTTGATTGGCTATTTATATAACAATTGGATGTGTAAGAAATTGAGTTTGGTGCCAGCTGGCTATTGAGCTAATGGATTTGAGTGTTCTGTGAAGAAACAAACTGTTCAGAGGCCAGTATGCAAGTTCCATCTCTGGCTTATTTATATAACAGTAATGGAAAGGAGAAAAAGATTTATACATTCAATATCATGCATAAATCTTAAAAGCAGTATTATAAGTAAAAAAATGCAAGAGGATATAGGTTGCTGATTCTGT